AGTGGCTCAATATTAATAAAACTTAGATAAATTAAAATTCATACAAATCTGCCAGTCATCTCAATCTTACTTCCTGTTAATGTATGGATCATTGAGTGTAGGTTTTAAGATTATAAATGCTTTAGTTTATAAATAAATAAAAATTCACATAAAAACTAGCAAAACAATTAATAAAGCAAATCAGTTAGTAATGTGTAAATTAACATTATTCAGACTCCAAAAATCTTGTGCTTGTTGGAATTTTTTTCCATGAAAATTATTCCATGTGAATCCAGTTTCCTTGACAGTGTTCGTAGTCCAATAATATGCGACTCAACATTCGTTTAAAGCTCTGAGTTTCAAATCAAGAGAAACAGGCACCTTAAATTGGGTTTTCCTTTGTGAGTAGTTTTAAAAAATATCGATGTACTTATAAATCAAGGAAAAAATAGTTGGACCTTCCAACTATGACCTCGATACCTATCGCAATTTTTTCACAAAAATATGTTCTTGATATTTAATAACAACAAGCACTCTAAAATTAAAACATTACAATTTTCATGTCTTGTTTTAACAAATGACGTCGATAAATTGTGTTGTTGTTATTGTTTTAAAAATGTCCACAACAAATCAACGACTGTCCGTGGTTACATCATTTTAATTATAGTCATCGATTAATATTTCCAAGCACGCAAAGTGTCAACATTGCCCAAACCCTGAATTCATTAACGCCGTCGTGTAAACAAAACAACACAAAAATTGACCAATGGTTAAAACTAGAAATCTCGTAGCAAAACAACGAAATATCAATACGACGATAATCAATCAAATTGTAGAGTTGTTTTTTCGACTAGAAGATATACAAATGACTCAGACGCCCTCTGGAGATTTTATATGTGTGACAAAAAAACCAATAAATAAATTAAAAATAAAAAACACGTGGTTTTGTGGTTAGGTCAGCAGAAGAAAAAAAAATAATTTCTTGGATATTTTTTTTTCTTCTGTTTAAATGGTTCCGTGTTGAGGTCTGCATTATTCCTGTACAAAACAATTGTAAGCATTTAATCAACCATGGATTTCCGTTAAAATAGTTACCATCTTGTTGTCTGTGGCGGTGTGTGTGGGTCTTATTTGGCGGCATATTTATACATCCGCTTTTGTGGCTTTCTTTGTTCTCAACGTTTTTATTTTTCTACTGGACTCTATTAGGTTTTACATATGTTCAGACATGCATATGAAGTTTTGCATTTTTGTGTTCTCATGTCTTAAACGCTGGTGTTTCTTTTTTTCTCCGCCGTTCTCCTGCATTTGCTATTAATGCTAACGAAGAACGTGCTTGGCATACGTCTTGATGCACTGAAGTGTTTCGAGTAATGATTCTTTGGTTTGCATACTGCCATTCATGTGGCAAAGCGTTTGCTGAGAAATGAAAACAAGACAAGATAATATTTTAATGGCAAAAAAGTATTGTTTAAGTTCCTCAAAAACAAGAAACTGAACTCCTACATATGTATGTAGACGTCATGCAAAACGAAAGACTTAAGACACAAACTTGTAAATTAATTTCCATGGCAAAAATACAACAATTTTGTTTCTTTCTCGTGTCAGCAGGGGGATTTACTACAAGGTCTTTTATTAAATTTCTATTAATTGTAACGACCTCCATTGTTTTATTGCAACGAAAAAACTTGTTGTTGTTGGTGTTTCAGTCATTGATTCAAATATTAAACATTAACTACTGCTTCACGACTAAGAAAACAAAACAAGGCAATAACAATGCCAATACTACATTTTTTAAATGATCTGGCCTGGTCTTGTGCGTTCATGGTCAACCAGAATTCATGGGGAATTCACCAGATAATTGTTGATCAGAAAATACCGCCATGTTACTAGAAACGCTTAGATGCATGATTAAAAGATTTACAGATATTTCTACAACTCTGATGAGTTGATACGATATGTTAACGCATTCATTTGCGGGTTAAAACAAAAGACTTAACACACAAACCAGTTAATATATCATAAAATTTTAACATTTGAAAATGTTTGTTTTTTTAGTAAATTTTATAGTCACTTAAAGATTTTAAATGAGTTTATTTGTATACTGATAATTTGAAATTAAATTAAAACTTGGATTACTACTATTTTAACCTATAAAATTAGAAACATTTATCATTGAAAATATTTGAATATATTTGTGCGAGGTTTGTTTAAAAAGTATCACGAATTTTACTTAATGGCAAAGACTTATTTCGCGCAATTTAAGATATACTGCACTAATGCAAGATTTTTTCCCAATCATAATGTATCTAAAACATAGTATTACCATCGCCCTTTCATGAAATGAAAAACGTTTGGGAAAGTAACGCCTGGGAACAAGTTGAAGAACTGAAGAGGGTTCTTTCGGGGTTCTAAAGTACAATTTTTCCTGCCATATCATTTGGTGAATGGTGCATATGTTTCCACTAATTAAGATGCTTTCAGCTAAAACAACAAACTGAAATTATATTGAAAATACAATGTATTTTAGTTAATTAGTTAATTTGAAATAGTTCTTTTTTGTTATTTTCATGATGTTTAGTCACACAAATTGAAAATTTGTTAGTGCAAATTGTTTTTAATTACAATTGTAAAATATACCAAAACAGAAAATTGTTTTGACTATTTTGGCAACATTACGAAAAAAAGCCCACAACATTTAATAACAGCATCAAAAAATTGATTCCCCTCTAATTTTCGGCATGATTTTTTTTGTTTCAAGCGAAAAACCCCTTACGGTCATTATCAATTCTTCTTACCCAAACTACAATGTATGGTTGCTGAATTGTCGTTATTTTTTGGCTTTTTCATACTTTTGGCGTTGTTTTGATTCTGAATGAAAGGAACAGAAATAACAAAACAAAATGAAATACCCCTGCCTAAGTTCCAAGAATTTTATATGATTCAGTTTGGTATGTTTGTTGTGGTACACAAAAAGATGAAGAAGAAGCAAAAAACAGCCTGGGAATATTCCAAAACAATTTTTTGTATGGATGAATGGCCAAAAGCAAGACATCTTCTTCTTGTTCTTCATCTTTGCTCAACGCTACAGACTTGTTTTCATTGGGTGTTTCTTTGGAATTCTTTGGAGATGTTTTGTGTTTACTTCTGTTTGTTTTTTTTTTCTTTCTTTCAAAATAATAAGCTTAAGGGGGCCACAATAACACATAACAGAATAGCAGACAATCAACCAGGCAGTCAGGTCAGTCTCACTAACTCTAATCATGATAATGAATTTGTTGTTGTGTATATGTGTGAGATATCAAAACAAAAATATAAAAAAAGGAATCTAACGCAAAAAAATCATTACAGAGAATTATAATGACATAATGACTTTTCTTCTACGAGTTAGAGTTCACACTAAGCAATCACATAATTGAAACATTATTAAAATTTTAATTATAACCAGCATTCTCATAGAGAAATATAAACATAAATTGGATAAATTCTCCTCTCTCTTTCCTCAAAAAAATCTTTGCACATTTCCAATGAAATCGAGGCACATTTCCCTAATAAATATATGATTTTTCTCTGTGCTGATTATCACTACATTTAAAAGTGTTAATGCTAATTCCATTCCAAATAAAAAATAATAATTCTGTGTGCTATTAACATATACATATGTTGACATACTGCAGAATTGTGTTATTTGTAGCATTGTGTAATTATATGTTTACGTGTTTCTACCATTCCGCAATGATAGCTAACTAACACGCATTACCTACTACTCTTATTCCGATCTGATATGGCAATTATTCTATGGGGCTGGGAAAAAGAAACACAAATAACTGTTGATGGCGACTAAGTCACCACATTCCTCGCTATGCGCAAATTATTATCAATGATTTCATTTAAAGATATGACACAAATGCCAAATCACCATTTATCCCCTTATGCCAGCCATCGTTTTTATTTTATTTGCACAATTAAAAGAAATTAACTGTTTTTTCTTTTGCTATTTTTTTTTACGAATCACACTGTGTTAAGAATTATGTAGCCAACAAAATAATTCATTTATTTTTGTGATAAAAATGATGTCGCACATTATAGGTCGAAAGCCTTTTTTGGCGGGCGAATAGACAAGGTACCGATATATCGAATAATAACTGTACGTGGGCTATTTATTATTATGGCAGTTTTGCGGTATTACTTCACACATTACCCGCACGCACACAAACACGAGTGTGTGAAAAAGGTTATTGACTTGATATTTGGAAAGAAAGAAAACACACGCACACACAAACAAAATGTATTAATTCACCACTAACTTGTAAAATTGTGAATCGAAAGAAATAGATAATGCCGAACGAAAGAGTTAAGACACGTACTTGAACGATTATATTCAGCATGCTGGTCGCTGTAGTGCACTCAGCATGATTTCCATGATATTTGATCATTAAAAAGGGGTCAATCTATGTGCTTTACTTTAAGGTAAAAAAACTAAGACAATATGTTAACATATCGATAGTTTGCAATCTTTCACTTAAATGTTCAAAAATGAATTAAAATTTACTCTGAGACAATACAACTTAGTTTAGAAGATAAAATGTGGTACACCTGGGACTAAAGAAATTACTAATTAATATAAACGATTATTTTAGATTTTGTTATGAAGAAATATATATTTTTGAGCTCATCTTCATAGAGAGTACATTATTACTATAATAACGTCTATATTGTGTTCAACTCCTCTTCATTTTGAATATTAAAATTTCAATTTATATTTTACTATACACACCCAATATTCATAAAAACATATATTTTATTCATTTGCAGATTCATCATCGAAGTCATTTGAAACAACAATGCCACCACAAATGGCAATGGAAACCACAATGACACCGCCACACCATGAACACTCATCATCATCTACATTAGAGGCAGAGACATCTTCCGCCGCCACCTCCTCATCCTCCTCTACAACCACAACGGAAACAAATCATCTAATTGAGACCACTAATGAAGGAGAAACTTCATTGCCAATGACAACCATTGAACCGATTACAACAACGGAACCCACCACAACGCCCACAAACTTAGGTGTGCAGCACAATGGCTTTAATGAAATCGAAAGCAAGGTTGAAATGGCAACAGACGAAAAGAAGCCAATAGAAGAAGTCACCGACTCTAATAAAATGGTTGATCAACAAATTGAGCATCAACATCATGATCATGAACACGATCACCACCACCATGAAACTGGTATAGATCATGATATGGCACATACCCCCGAACATAAGACTGAAGAAATAATGGATGTCACTGCCACCGATGTGCCCATGACTACAATCACCAACACCCAAGAACATTTCAATCAAATTTCCCAGGAACCTGATGATGCCGATGCCAAAGATTTGAATAATATCCGACATCCCGTTACATTAATAACTGCCAGCCAGAGCGAGGAAACCACAGACAAAGACAATGACAGTTCAATGAAGTCCTTAGAGGACACTGAAGATCCTTACCATGCTCACATACTATCTGAAAGTCATGATCGTTTGGCCGAACATGAAGGTTATCAAATGATCTCCAGTACTGAAGATTCCAGGGATGTGTCATCGACAACCACTCAATCTTCCGACAAACCCAAAGCATTCGAAGAAACCCATACTGATGAAATTGTTGTCAGTCAAGAGAACGAAGCCACAGCCAAACCTGTCATGGAAGGCGAAATGCCAATGATACACAACGAAACCAACGAAGGCCGGGCCAGAGCCATCAACTTAAATTCCGAAGATAGTGTGGCACCCACAACCATGGATTCCACGACCAGCACCACACCTGCGGGACCAATTATAAGCATAATCGAAGGATTACAACACCACATGCATGAAAATCCAACTGAACATGGCCACGACCATGCTACACATGATCACAGTCAGCATATGCACCGCGATGGCGACGAGTTGACCTCTACCACCAGCACCACAGAAAAAATGCATGAAATGCCATCTGTTTATGTATTCAATGGTGAGGGTCGTTCCGTTGACTCCTCCATATCGGCTGAGGATGATTTGTCGCATCTGAATTATCATTATAACTTTGTCACCACCGAAAGGGTACACGACCCGCAAAATGAGCAGAAAAACGCCGCCATCAACGACTTGAGCAATATCAGCATGGAGGATGATGAACAACAGAATAAAAGCCAGGAATATTCACAGCAACAACAACAACACGAACAACATCAACAACATAATGTTTTTGCCGTCTCCGAAAATCACAAGGAAGATCATATGATGATCACCACAACACCGGCTAGCACATCAATGGCGAATAGCATGGATAGTAGTAGCACAACGGCTGCCCCCGATACCACAACACCCGCCGCCGTCGATTCTACATCTGAGGCGCATATGAAAATAACAGAAATTACTGCAGCCGGCGATGTAATGCATCGTGAATGTTTAGCAGATGGTCAAAGTTATAAGGTAAGTGTGTTGGAGGTTATGAACAACTAAAAGCTAAGGTACACACATAGGAGTATTTTTTTAATGGTTATATGTGTGTGAGTGTAGTTTTTCCTTTTTCGTTGCAAAAAAAAAAAACTCATTTTTCAATGACGTCCACAGTGACCCTGGTGTATTTTGTATGGAATTTACAATGATAAGAGGGAAATTAATTATGCATCGATAAACGATAGGATGGATGTTGTTTTTGTTGTGTTTGTTGACTATTAAGTGAAAACAAAAGACTTAAGACACAAGCTCACTGTCGTCATGGTAATTTATTAATTCATTGATTTTATGCCCAATACACTACATGCAAAAAAAGGAACTATTTAGCGTTTATCAATTTGTTTGTATTTGGAAATAAATAAAGGAAATAAAGGAGAAAACAAAATATAAAATATCTAAATTATTCCATAGAAGAAATCTGAGATGATTTGAAGAAATACATACCGATAAAATTCTTTTCACTCAGCATTTGAACCTTAAACGCAGCTCTATATTTTTGTATTAGCTATTTGTGATATACGGAAAATTGTCATATTGTGGTGTTTTATTCATCAGTAGGAATCACCCTGACTGACTAAGTTTGTACGCTAGTTCCTTTACTGCAACTTATGCGAAGACAAAAGACTTAAGATACAGGCATATTGTCGTCATGATGATAAATTATTAATAGAGTTTTTATATGAATTAAATCGAAGTGCCGAATCAATAAACCGATTTTCTTACACCATTGTAAAAATCCAATTTAAGTAACGTTGTTTATAAAATACAAATAAAAATTGTCGATTACTGAAGAGTCTATCATCAATAAATGACAACACCATCAACAATCATAAAATCCGATAATTAATCATCATGTTTCGTTTCCACACAACACAAACAAAAGATTTAAGACACATACAAGCAGACATAATATTGTTGAATTCCTTCAAAGTCCATAGTTTTTCCACTTCCTTTAAATTTGTTCCTGTTTAAAATACCACCAACAAATAAGTTTTTGCATAAAAAAAGAAAAAAAAATATTTATATTTGTTTATTGCATTCGCTGGAGTTTTGCATTTTTTGGTAATATGTGTCTCTGTTTTTGTTGCGACTATAATTGTGGTTTTCATTTCGTATTTTTTTCCTCTTTTTGTTTTCATTTACACTGCATCTGAAAAGCGTTTCCTTGTTGAGCTAGTTTTTCTTTGGCCATAGTTTGTCTGCTCACCAGTTGCTTGGTGTGATGTTGTTTGTGTGCCGGGGTTGTAAAACGTGTTAATGTTATGAATTATGAATAAAATGGAAATGAAAATGGAAATAGACCATGTCGTGTGCAAGGGGGAAAAGCCAAAATGGAGTACAACATATCAAGTTTACCCAAATGTTAGTTTGTCCACTACATTTCCCTGTTGAATTCAAAACAGGAATTTCGATTTGATTTCATGTTGAAGAGATATCCTATTTGGTATAATGACACGATATTATTAGACAAATTTAACACTTTTATTTATTTTTTGGCTAAGAGGAGTAACGGGTTCCGTTATGTATTTCCGTGTTAAATGTTCAAAATTGTTATATTTTTAAACAATTGCGAATTGGGTAATTGTTGTTGAATGTGTGTGTGTGTCTTAAATCTTCAATTTTGGTATTCAATAATAAGAATATTGCAATTTCTTTAAAAAAATAAATGTAGTGAATTAATTGTTATTTATTTGAATTTTGCCTGTATCTTTTGATAATTTGAATGATTTTTTAGTGAGTTTTTTCTATTTCGAGCGGACCTTAATAATCGAAGTTTTGCAATGAAAGCAAGGAATCATGTAAGAATTAAATTCTACATTATTAAAATCTGAATATTCATAACATCAATATCATTGATGTCCAACAGCCTTTAAAGTTACTGAAGGTTCGTTAATTTCATCTAATAAATATAATAATCGTAAAGAAGGGAAAGCAAAATAGGGGAAGAATCTTCGCACAACGCGTTGGTAAAGCGTTTAATCAGGCACATTAAAATATATAAAATTGTAATAGGGCGTCAGATGATTCACAAATTTATTTGGATTTTGTAGAAAACCTCGCAAGTATTCTATATAAAATGGGCATCTTTTTATTTGAGAATCGGAAGTAGTCTACTTCCAAAAATAACAGGTATCCTAATACAAAACCTGAAATTTATTTTATTATTTAATTTTTGAATAAAATTGATCTTTGACCTTCAATAGCAAAGATTTTGGTGTAACATTTCAAATGGTATATAAAGGTATCTTATATATAATATAACGCTAATATTTGTCTCATCAAGTTGAAATAAATAATTCCAAAATCAATCGATTGAAACTATAAATTCCAGAATATTAACATAACTGGGTGTGTTCCATGTTCATTGATGACAAAGTATGTGTCTTAAGTCTTTTGTTTTCTAATGCATAAATAAAAGATGCGATTGATTAGCATCGATTATACTCTCTCTATGTATTTCAATTTTTTGTTTTTTGATTTAAGTTGACAATATCCCACCATAAAAGCACATGACTGGTGCTGGCGGAGACTGTAAGCCAAAACAAAAAAGTGAATGCAGCATTCGCTTACATTTGATTTGTGAATGGCATACGTTTGGTTTTGAACTGAACTAAAAATTTGTTGCTCGTGTTTTTTTATTTAGTTTAAATTGTTGGTGTTTTCGTTTTCTTTGGCAAAAACAAAAACTTTAAGGTGGTAACAGACCATAATGGTATTGTTTTTTTATTTTATTTTAGTCTGCTTCAAATCTTCCACCATCAGACAACGTCCGTCCGCCCGTCTGTCTGCAATATTGTACAAAAAAAATGAGTGCAGTTTATTTTTTGTTCCACTTGTTTTCTATGTCTTTGTTTTTGTTTGCTTTCATAATAAAGCTTTATTTCAAATTGTAATGTAGGCATTTGCTTAGGTTACGACGTTGCATTAGAGTAAAAATTTTTTGTTATAAAAAAAATCACAAACAAACAATGAACACCGAACTAACCAAATATGAAGTGAAACAATCAAACAAATTCTCTGGCTGATCTCATAACCGGTCGCCTATGTAGGGTGCCCATATTTCAGCAACTTTTGTTTGGATTAAAGTGAGTAGGTGGTGTTTTTGTATTGCTTGCGTAGTGTTGATGTCTTTCATTGTCTGCCTTATCAACGTTAATATCTGAACTCAGAGATTTTTACAGATTTACATATATTTTATGCAAGGACGTTAGATTATAAATGAATTGTGGATTTTGTATTTTGAAAACATTGTATGTACAATGGTAAATTGAGTTTTGACAATATTGATTAAAAATCTAAACTGAGCTGAAAAAGTATAATCTAAAACTGATTTTTCATATAAAAATCTTCTTCTTCAATTCTCAAATCATAATTATAAATTTACATAATAATCTGCAAAGTAATTAGCATAGTAATTTGATAATATCTCTCTCCACTATTTGGCATTTTTTCCAAATGTATGCTGCGATCGTTTGTCTTATCTCCCAAACGAAACCTTTGCCAATATCTCGCATTTTGCTATTGGCATTTTATGTTCAGATATTTTTGCCTTACATTTAGGTTAATTACTCTGATTACACTTCAACATCTCAGACTAATTGAGTTGGGGTAGAAAATATTTGCTAAAAACCGCATGACTGAAACTTAAATATTAAATATTTACGTGGATTTTCGTTTGTGGAATGCAAAACAACAAAAACCTTGCACAGAAAAACAAAGCAACAACAACAACACACACAAATATTACCACTGACCAAATAACAAAAAAAATATATATATAAAAATTCAGCCAGTCAGTGCATGCATATTTGCATTGATGTGATATTACTAAGCGTTTTTCTTTTTTGGCTTTTTGCAAAAAAAAAAAAAAAACTAAAAAAAACGCCAAGCAATACAAAATTACTTTCACTTTTGCACTGGGGAGACGACGTTGTGATTTTCTTTGTAAATTGGTCAATACACAAACACACACACATACTTACATGCAATACCCCCCACACACACAAATTACACATGAATTGTCGTCATGTGAATGAGCCAACACTGGCTGGTGTAGCTGGTGTTATAGCATGCCACACGTGCAATCTTAGACGTACATTAACCGGCCTTTTTCAGATTAGACAACAACAACAGCAATGACCATTTATATACATTTCTATCTGTTGTTGTAATAGTATTGGTGTTCAACTTAATTACACCATTGCATGCTCAAATTTTCAAACAAAAAAAAAAAAACTTAATTTTATCATTAAGCCGAGAGCTAATTAGAGACACACACACAGACAGACTAATACCAAAATGTGTAACAACAATTACAACAGCTAATGAAAGATGGCCTGAAAACTGTTGCATGTCTTTTTTTCTGGTGTTGGCGAGATGATGCAGATGACCTTAAGTTGTTATCTTTCGCCATGCCGTACAACTAAAACAAAAACGGTTCACTGGGTTATAGGTTTCATTTGAAATTATAATCGAAATACCGCGCAACGCCACTACAACCCATAACAATAAATTAGCCATGGCAATTAAATATGTTGTTAACAACTATTTTTTGTCATACGATTAGGGAGAGTAAATATTTATTTTATTTTAATTTAATTGATTGTTTATAAAAATAATAATGGTTATTTTTGTGTATAGAATTAATTGCTGAACTCACTTAAAATGGTTCTAAAAATTTTGCTTTTTCGCGAAATTTTAAAGAATGACAAGAATGGTATTTGTTATAACCAAATAAAGTAACATGTTAACCTAGTGATGAAGTATATATTCTGTAACAACAACAGTTGCCAATATTGCAATTGTACTAGCCAAATATTTATTGAAAAATAATGAAATGAAAACTTGTAGTAAAACAAGTGTACATTGGATTTTTAATAACTTTCAAAAGTTTATATGGAAATTATCACAAAGCTCAACCACATTTTGAGGAATATTTATTCATAACCATTCTTGCAGGGTACTATTATTAGATGACCACAAAATATCAATTAATTTCTATTATTAAAAAATACATTTTACATACATGTTTCAGGATATAAAGATTATTATTACAAAGTTTTTAAGCTTGTGCAGAACTTTCATTAAAATGAGCCCTAAATAAACACTCAAAAATATTCTAAATTTCCTTATAATTGGGTCTCAATCTGTGGAAAAGACTACTCCCCACTTCTGTATTTTAGATATTTATTAAATCTTTTCACTTTTGGAATTCTTAGTAAAAGTGTATATTCGTCGTCTTTCATACATATGTTTGTGTCTTAAGTCTTTTTTTCTCTCGTATTAACCGAGTATTTTTCTATCATTAACAATAATTTTCCTCACACAAAAAACTGCAAACTTAAGTCTGGAATGATAATGATATCATTATAATGACAAATTCAAGTGAAAAAATCCAAATTTTATGGATGGTTGACAGAATGTGATTAAACAGTTTTTGTCGCAAGTTCTATTTAAACAATTTCAGACTACAAACGCCATGCTCTGGAAATTTTCTTCCTTCTAATTTTAGTTTAACCACAACAAAAAGTAATATTTTTAAACAATTTGCACACACACATTCACATACCCTTAAGAAAATAGACAACACCATCTAATGCAATTCTTTAGAAAGCCAAACAACTGTAACGAGTTCAATTTTTGAAATTTATGTACTGATTGTTTTTTTTTTCTTTGTCTGTCTTTCTGTTTGTTTCTTTGTCGGTCTGTCTATGCCCACCAATTTTAGAATGGCGAAAATATGGAACGTGGCTGTGATGAACGTTGTACTTGTAATCGTGGTGAATGGATTTGTTCACCTCGATGCCAGGGCAAAACCTTTAAACGTGGCACAATGGCAACGATGATGGCTGACGAAGACGAGACAAGGAAATGCCGTGAAATTGATGTCGAAGATGACGAATGTTGCAGCCGAATGGAATGTTCTACAAGTGAAGAAGGCTTCCTGCCCACACAGTCTACAATGCATACTGATGAAGCTATGAATGGTAGGTACTTGAACAGCGACAACAACAGTAGACAATATCGTTAGAAGAGAGGGGGGTTCTCTTTAACCTTAGATGCCTTTATTATAACTTCTACAATACAAGTGTATGTAGTTGTAGGCTACTCTTTAGATTCGTTTAGTTCCACACATTCACGTTATTTGTATCTGTGTAATTTTCATTTCATGTCATCATTTGCATTGCTTCTAAATACCAATACGAACCAATACAACAACATCAACAACACATACACAAATGCAGCATCCATACATAAAACACGTCCCGACTGCTTCTTCAATGGTGGTATTTATAAATTCCGTGAGCGTCTGGAAATTGGATGTGAACAAATTTGCCATTGTGATGAGGGCGGCATTATGAACTGCAAACCCCGTTGCCCCGAACGCAACCACACTCGTCCCGACAAGTGTGTCTTCGTTAAAGATCCCAAAGACGTATGCTGCCAGCTGGAATTCTGCGATGTCACATTGGATGATCACGAACAAAGACCATCACCATCGGCTGCCCACAATTCCATTGGTGATGATGGTTATGGCTTCCAAGAGGCCCGCGATATCGATGGTGCTGGCGGTCAGGGTTCGTGTGAATATAAGGGCCAGATGTATGCTGAAGGTAAACAATTTCACGATGGCTGTGAACAGTTGTGTTTGTGTACCGCCGAGGGGGTTCACTGTGCCAAATTGCAGTGTCCCACCTCATTTGGTTTGGACGTTCTGAACCCACATTGTTTACGCTGGGAACCTGAACCGGCCAACTTCGAACCCATTGCACCCAATTGTTGTCCAGATAGTATGCGTTGCGTCGACAATGGCACCTGCGAATATCGTGGTGAAGAATTTGAGAATTGGTCCCAAATACCCACCAATCTAACCGGTAAGTCATACACCAAGCTTTCATTGGCTGGCATAAGCTTTCCGATCATATAATTTGTGTGAACAATTACTAACCCTTAACTTCCATATGCAATATGCATTCCGACATAACATTCCCATAGGTTGTGACCAACATTGTTATTGTGAAAACGGTAAAGTAGAATGTCGTCCAGCTTGTCCCCCCGTTTTGGCTTTGCCACCCGCCGATTTACCTTGTCATCGGGCACAGGCCCGCCTATTACCCATACCCGACGATGAATGTTGCAAACATTGGGCTTGTGCTCCGATACCCAATCAAACTGAGAGACCCTATCACGGTGGCCAACAGCACGAAGAGGATGAGGAAGAGGAGGAAGCCTCACAGGAACACTTGGGACACAATGGTAAATATGACAGTTGCAAAAACAACATTTCAGAGCTTTTCTTTCAAGGGGTGCATGAAATGAATGACGCTTTTCACTTTGAATGTGTTGTTTTTCTATTTAATATTTTCACTAATATGCTGAAAAAGGTCCGAGGACCAAATTGGATATGCTTTGTTTGAGTAGAGCAATGATATTGCTATTGTTGTGGGTAAACATTTAAGTGTGACAAAGAAAAGAAGAAAGACTCGAACACCGATCAAATTTCTTATTATCAGAAACCGCGTCTGCCTGAATTTAAAAACGGATCAAGCATGATAACGCCATGTCATAATGTCTATTGTAGTTTCATTAAATGTCAAGCATCCATCAGGTCATTTTCATACGTAAATCATGCTCTCTCTCGCTCTATTACCCTGTCTTTGCCTTTCCTCTAAAAATAATCGTCATTAATTGATCTTAAAAAAACTAATTGAATTACGAAACCTCTCTCCTATTTTGTTTCCTGCCTTCTTATTTTTTATCTATTTACGTTTTTTAAATAATGGATAATTTCAATGTATCGGGTAACCGAAAACGTGAAATTTATTATTGAAATTATCTTAATTATTTGTATTCTGCACTCACATAATTATTCATTATTTTAAAAACTAATGCGCTTCATTAAAATAATTTGCATTTGTACATAAACAAAAAAAAAATAAACAAACAAATGTTCACGGCCAAACCTTCAGAACACCCACAAATGGAAAATGCCAACAAAAAACATGAATCTGTCGCCGCCACTATTGGTGTTAGCAACGACGAAACAGAAAAGAAGCCAACAACAACAAATGCATTCTATCCCACATTGGATGGTAAGCCCCCTAAAGGTAGTGCAGCGGCGCCACCCTTCGGTTTCGATTATAAAACTGAAAAACATGAGAAACACGAAAAACATGATAAACATGGGAAGAAAGCTCCCGTTCCAGTTAAACCTCAACAAAATGATGTCAAATATGATGTCCACGAACAGCAAGAGGATGATATACCCGTGCATCAGCATCCCGGTCTAGGACCTGGTTATGTTCCTGTTCATTTAACTCCCGGTGGAGTGGCCATTTCGCCATATGACAGTGTGAATTACAATCAAAATCTGGCACCACAACATCCTGGCCCACAAGGACCTTATGGGCCTTTCTATCACAACGAAGCCTTTAATCCGTATGAACAATATGATCTAAATCCCAATGGTATACCTCAAGGCAAACCTCCAGCACCCACAAGTCAATCGGATCTGTTTAATATAATAGGAGCAGGAGTACCAGGTGGCGGCAAGTTGGGTCAATCAAATTTACCACCACATGTTCGTATCGAACACATTCTACAACATCTACAGCAAAATGTCAATCCAGCCATACAGAATGGTGCAAATGCACCCCAAGGACCTTTTGTGCATGTCAACACAAGTGGTACCGGAGGACAGGCGCCTCAATATGTCCCCATTGTTCATAGTGGCCTACCACCTCCACCGCCAGGTCATGGTATTGCCATTGTCGATGGCCATCCGGTTTCGTATGGTGGTTATCCTGTTATACCCGGTGTGGGTCCAGTACCCACTCATCTCGGCCATAATGCCGGACATGCGTCAACAACAACTGCTAACGGTCTGCAGACACAATCTTCGGAGCATGGTGCTGTAACGAAGACCCAAAAAACAGGTTGATTTTAAACCCCTAATTCTCTTTCTGTCTCTATCTGTATCAATACTTTGCATTAATCTTCCACATTTCCATTGCATTCAACCCATTGAGTAGTTGTTACTAATTCCAAATCAAAAAACCACTTCTATTGCTCTACTTTCATTGAACATGGGTGATGGTCATTCCACATCAATCACATTTCTGCACACACACACACACAACTCAACACCACAGCACACACATTAACATTTTGTAAATACACAAGTGAGACCACTTAGTGGGAGTGGTAAGCCCCTTCCATTGTTACCCGAAATATTTGCCTGTAGAAAAGCTTTTAGTTTGGAGTCCAGACCCCCCAACAGTGATATAGCGAATATAAGTTGTAAATCATATTAATTCCTTACTATTTCCTCCATTCATTCAGGTTTCAATAACTTACAACCCGATATTGAAGTACACACTCTGGAAGCCATTGATGCCCGCACGGTTCGCATTGTCTTCACCGTTCCCCAAGTCTATGTTAATTTACATGGCCGCGTGGAATTACGTTATACCAATGGACCTGGTAACGACACTTCTAAGTGGGAACAACAAATATTTGCCCCACCAGAAGACTTAATTGCCACATCGCAAATGGAATTCGACTTGCCTGGTTTGGAACCAAATTCGTTGTACAAAATCAAAATTACTCTAATTTTGAGAGATTTGAATTCCCAGCCCACAAGCTCAATTTACACTGTCAAAACACCTGCCGAAAGAACGATTACCCCACCTCCACCACCATCCGATTATCGTCCCGACTTCCAAGATATCTTCAAATCTGTTGAAGACCCAGAATTGAATGTCAGCGAAAGTAACTCGACTTGGTTGCATTTGACGTGGAAGAAACTTTCCGATGATCACTTGGATTATGTTGATGGTATCCAGTTGAGATATAAGGAATTGACTGGCATGATTTACTCATCCTCGCCGCTGATACATCGTTCCCTTACCTCATACACCATCGAGAATCTGCAACCCGATACTGGCTATGAAATCGGTCTCTACTACATACCATTCCCTGGCCATGGTGCTGAGATGAGAGCTGGTCATATGATTAAGGTTCGCACTAGTCCAAAGGTGGATGTATTTGCTTTCGATGTTACCGTCAATGTTACCAAGATCAAGGCCCAAAGTGTTGAAGTTACATGGAGTGGTGTACCATATCCCGAAGATAAATATGTCAATATTTATAGAGCTATATATCAAAGTGATTCGGGTAAGGAGGACTCAAGTGTGTTCAAGGTAGCCAAGAGAGACAGCTCAACGGGTACACTGATTATGGATTTGAAACCTGGCACTAAATATCGTCTATGGTTGGAGATGTACATGACCAATGGCAAGATTAAGAAGAGTAATGTTGTCAACTTCATTACCAAACCAGGTGGCAATGCTGCACCGGGTAAAACTGGTAAGTTGAAAAATATTGGGAATTCGATATGTTAATTCTATTTAAGATGTTAATGTAATTTTTCTAAAGTTTTAACTGCTTACCAAAGGATTCAAGCCTTCTTTGGAGACATTGGTAATAATGAAGTTCTTTATAAAAACTAATTTAGTGTATACAGACAAGAAAATATTTTTAAATTAATTTTCCAGATATTAGGGATTTCATTTAATTTCATTACTATTTGATTTCACTTTTAACGCCATTTGTTTTCCTCTAGGTAAACTATTACATGCTGGTGTCGATCAGCCTGTGGGAGATTACTATGGACCATTGGTGGTTGTTTCAGTTGTTGCAGCTTTAGCTATTATGTCGACTTTAGTGTTATTACTGATACTGACAAGAAGGCGTGTCCATCAAACCGCTTCCATAACCCCACCCCGTAAGAGTGATGCCGCCTATGATAATCCATCGTACAAGGTTGATATTCAGCAAGAGACAATGAGTAAGTTGAAATATTATACAAATTAACATGATATTTTAATTAAATATTTTTTTACTTCCTTGCAGATCTGTAGCGGTTTTAAACGATAAATAAGTGGATTTCCTGGAAATCCTTTTGTCATCGTATTTCTATTATTTCTACTCAAAATCAAAAACATGAAATCCTAGTTGTGTCTTAGTAAATAGGTTTGAAAAACAAATTTTAATGTAAATATTTAAAAACGAAAACTAAGAAACGAATTCCCAATATATATATATATACACATACATATATACTATAATATATAATTATGATAATTACATAGCAATTTTTTTGTAATTCGAAATAAATAAGAACAATAGAGAACAACAATTGGTTAAACCATATCCAAATCATCTAAAAATCAAGCAATGAAAAAAATGAAGAGTGAATGAAATTAAAATAAAAAAATAATAGCTGTAGTAAAGTGCCAGAATGTAATTAACGAATAAACCTAAAAAGAAATATGAAATTGGCCAAACAATGTGTACTGTAATGTTTTTTGTCCTAAAACAGAAAATAAAGCCATTATTTAGAAAAAGAGAAGAAAAACAAAACAAAAAATAATAACTCTTAATAGTCTTAAGTATAATGTTCATTTTCAGTTTCATATCTTTGTTTTTTATATGATTTTTTGTATATAAATCTCTATTAAATCTGTATTATTTTTGTATGTCTATCAATCTACTTGTCTTCCCCAAAAAATGAACGAATTCATGTATTTATTCCAATCATGGTATAACTCCCTCCTTTTTTACTTTATTTTTAACCACATGAAAGGCATTGTATAATTTTTAGCTTTACTTTTGCTTAGTTTTACACGTGCAAACGACAATTAAATCTAAGTTCGAAATAATAATAAAAAAAAACCATCCAAAAATAATCTAACAGTGTTTTAATGAAATTACCGGAAATACAAAAAGGAATAGTCTGCGGGAAAACAAGATTTGAAAGTCAAATTTTAAAAGAGTGAGAACCCAACATAAATTCTGGTTTTAACTTGGTCATTGTATTCTACGCATAATGGAATGATATTTACTCCTTTTTAAATGGCAATACGTTTAAAATTCTCGTCTAATAAATATCAAAATTATATAAAAGATTAATGCGACAGTCGTCGGGCAATGCTGACGGCAGAATGTTGTAGAAGATAGTTTCATTCATTTTCATCACGTTTTGGTTTTGCAGATTTTGAAATTTTTATCATTGACATTGTTCGTAGAGGATATTTGATTATTTGAGCATTGTTATACAATAGTCCCTTACAAACATTTTTGGAATAGGATAATAAGATGTCCACCTATGAAGAGTGGTGTTGTTAAGCGAATAGCAAGAATGTTTCTTATTTATCTTTCCGCAATATCGCCAAAATTAGCACTACTAAGAAATACAATTCATTTTAGAATACCTTCTTACCTAGATTCTTTCATTAGTGTTCCATATTGTCATACCAGCAACGACTTAAAAAATTCCGCATTCTATTGGAAAATATTGTTGAGAAATTGTTAGTTTTGGAAATGCTAGTCCATGGTTATTTTGAAAATGACATATTCATTCACCCCTATTCCGTAAGTCGTCGTCGTTGTCGACGACGTTTCTCTTTCGACATCACTTCGCATCGACATCGACATCACTTCGACACTGATTTGGTATTCTGTAACACTCATGCGACGATGTCGACTATTTATCGATAATATCAATAAAAACAAAAATTTTGTTGCATATTTTCGGGCAAAAATGTGTTTGTATCCTTCACCGCACTGTGGCACAGGGCATTATGTCTTGGTAAATGTGTTTGCAACGACCAAAAAGAAACGAGATAGACCCATAGTTACTTTTTAGTATATAGTATGTACATAGAATTATTTTTCAGTCGATTTATGCATGTCCCTCCATTCATGTATTATTTTAAACAAGTTACATGCCACCATTATGATCCGAACGGGATGAAATTTGGAAAACAAATCCATCCAATTGGGATGAAATTTTATTTCCACATAGACATTGACATTGGTAAATATCGGTTTAGATTTATATATAGATCCCATATATTTTTCTTTATTTACACTTTATTTTGCATTAAGTATTGAATAGATTCTAGAATGATATATCCTGTTCTTGTCCGGTCATGTTTTTTTTTAATTTCAAAAAAAAAAGTTCAAACGCTTCAGTCGTCAACAAAAACTATGACGAAGAAATCTTCGACATCGTCGTCGTCACACATTGTTACGGAATACCAAAAATGTTTCAATAGTTATCGATAAATGTCGACAACGACATAGGGAATACCAATTTGCAAAAGACGACTCTCTTCGACGTCGTTTCGTGTCGACGACGACATACAGAATAGGGGTGATTAACTATTTATCCAAATATAATACAGCAACGAAATTTGATTTTCTTAAGATATGTAATGAATGAATAATTGATTTGTATTGCCTGTAAAACATATCATAATAATGAAATAATGAGGTATATGCTTTGGGAATAAAATTATTTTAAGTTACAATAAAAAAATCGATTTTATTGTCGAAATAAACAAGGGTATATTTCAATGAAAAATGCATCATTGTTCTATTTATAAAAATAACCATTTATTTTGAAAAAATATGCATTAATATTATTTTACTGTTATATATTCATTGATATACACCGTTGGATTTTCAACTGTATGTGAAAAACGATAACCCACCTTACATAACTGCGATCCTACAATTTTAAACTTCCCATTTTCTGTTCTATTACACTATCACCATCACTGTCACTATCACTATCATCGCTGCTGTCGCTGCTAGAAGTATCCGATTCCGTTTCGACAGACTCATCTTCACTTGTCGAACTAGCAGCAATGTGAATATCGGTTATCAATTCCTTCAGCAATTCCGTTTCCAGTTCTTGCAGTCCCAAGCCCAAATTCTTTTTGAATACATCGAATAAAACATTTTTTAAGTTATGTGCCAACATTTGCAGATGAGAACTTGAGCAAATTTCTCGATTTGAAACATAACGTATGTAATCTTCAATGTAATAATGATTGAATACCGAACGTTCATTAAGGCTAAAACAATCATGAGTAATTAGTAGTTGTTTGAGGATCCATTGGGAATTATTTTGCAATGCAGCTACGCAATCTTCAACGCATTGCCTGCTAAGTTCATAATTGCGATATAAAGGATAGATAAGGGAACGTCTCATAAAACTAATGACGACAGATTTTAGTGAGGTGAATGGCTCGAAATAGGTTAACGTGGCGGACAAAATGCTACGAGTCCATGCCGATTCGCAGTTTGGTTCATTCGATGTAAATCTGAAAGTGGTAAATTATGGAATGAAATATAATAGAAATATGACTTTCTAACAATATCATACCTAACATCATAGCATATAGCCAATAAAATACTTATGAGCCCGCAATCAATTTCCATGGGGTCATATTGGTCAGGCATTTCCATTAGCTCTGGCTTGGACGTCAGGTTGTGTAGTAAATATTCTTCATCACGTTCTAGTGTATTATCTGAAATGTTGAAAATATGTATGTTGTAATTCCACGGTATTAATTTATGAACTAATTAATGCCGGAGTAGTTCATATTTTCGAATTTGTTCACATTTTCGATTTTCAATACTTTAATGTCAGTTTGAGTGTTAACATGAGAGTTCACTGTATTGGATGTCCCCATTATATAGAGTTCACTGCATAACTGAACTGCTCAGATCCAGAGCACTTGAATTGAGGTTTTTATCGAAAAAAGTAATTTGATTTGAATTTAATTTGCTAAAAGCTTAACGAATACAGATGTTTTTGAAATGTGACATCACCGAGAGAGCAATTTTTTCATTCTCAAATACGAACGAAATCATTTGAAGATTCATTTAAGGTACAACGTCCTCATTAAAGTGACAATGGGAATATAATAATTGAAATAATGTCATACCTTTAAAATTAAATGTATATTGCATGGGATTATCCAGACCATCAGGAACTTGTAACTCTACGAAATTCAATTTGTATTGATCACGACAAAAGTTTTTCATTTCATCAATATCTCTGTCTATTAGACGTTGCAGAGGGCTCACTCGATCTGGCTCAGGCATGCGAGAAATAGTGTCCAAATCACACTGTAATAAACAAATTTAGTTAAGGTATAAGCCCAATAGTTGAAATGCTCCAAAACATACGTCAAAACTTCTTATTCGTCCATGGAATTTACTAGCAAATCCATAACCATATGATCCCTCGGGCCGCAATAGCTCCGCGTTATCATCAATTTTTAGCAGGCAGTTATCGGTGATTCTCTTCAATTTCCACAAATCTAAGGGACGTTCTACAATCTTTGTTTTATTTTCTTCCGAGTTTTTCTCGGGATGTTCCTCCTCAGTTAGCGGTAAGCAGGGAAGGTTAACAGTAAGTACATTGTCTTTGGAATTAAATTTGAATGTAATATTTTTTAAGTCCTTTAGATCAAAACGACGTGCTGAACGAAATCTGGAATTGGTGGAGACACAATAATCAATTACAGTAAATTTTAAAAATTAATTTTGTTTAAGCTTACTTGTACAGCTGTACATCCAAGTAGATAAGGACATGGTAGTCTTCTATGAAAATATCACAATTTCTTATATTCTCCACAAACCTACCAGTGGGACCACCCGCAGCTTCTCTATTGGCCTTCTTAACATGCAGCTCCAATTCACATGCATTTTCCCTATAACTGTGACTAATTTCGGTGGAATTGGTCATAATGGAGGATTAGACTTAAAGAGTAGGCTGGGAATTAATTCACTAGAAGCACTCGCATCCACCGCATCCGCACGTGGATGAATCAAAACAAACAAAGATGTACCTTAGTGAAGGAGAGAAAAAATTAAAAACGTTCCGCCTGCTAACGAATGGGAGAAGAAGGCACAATGACCGATAAAGAAGAAGTCAAAGTGGTTTAAACGAAAATTTACGAATGAGGTGGGATGGAGATAAAATGAGAACCGAATTGTTTACGAATGAGGTGGGATGAAGATTAAATGAGAACCCCACTTAGAAAACCGAGCCACACTGACTGTATCGACGGCTTTACGTTGTTAATCGACGGCGTTAATTTTTTTATTATTTTATAAATAGGTACCTATAGATCAACTTTTAATCAAAAATTTAGTAGAGACACACACTGAAATTCTTTATGAAATTCACTCGATCTTAAATGTCAATAGCCTAACGAATACGATTTACTTGACTTTTATGCTATTGAATTGACATTTTAAATCGAACGGATTTTGTAGCCTACGTAAATATAAAGAAAGTTTAAATGATGGAAAGGGGTTTCAATTAAGAAATTTTTAGTCGAATTTGCATTAATCAGTAAAAGTTGAAAATCGATTTTGAACAGGTTCCACAAAATCGGAAGATCAAAAAGTCGACTTTTCACACCAAGACAAAAATTGTAAAGTCCAGTTTGTTCATCTATCGAACTAAACGAAAAATATAAGAAAATCTCGTTACATATGGTTTATGGTCCTATACCTTCAATTTTAAAAGAAAGTGGACAAGCTGGAGGAGGACCTTCCTTCAGTATTTAAAGAGAAAAAAAAATTTAAAAGTCTTAAGGTCTTAAAGTCGACTTTTGCGCTAGACTACGTAATCCCTATTTTGGCGAAATCGACTGGAGCTATAGGCCGGTTCACATCTTATGAACTTTATCGATAAAAGCGGTTATCGGCCACATTGGAGACTACCTAGGTCGTTAAAATTATTTGAAAATTCAATTTTTTATATTTTTAAAATTAATTTCAAACATTTTGAAGTACTAAATACATCATTCGATTATCAATTTGAATAAATAACTTAACTTAAACTAAACTTTTCCTGTGCCGAAATCGAAAACAATTTCTATTAATAAAAGATTATAGCAGATTATTGAAGACACTTCATGTTAATTGTATTGTTTTAAAGGGCTACATATATTGCTATTTTTTACACATTTGTTATTTTTCATAATAACACAAACTGTATCCAATGTAGAAACTGACACCTTCCACAGAGAGGGAGGACTTAAAAGTGAAATTGGTTTAAAAATTACTATTTTAATAACTTTTGATCATTTTACTTCAAATTGCAATTTTCTAATTAAAAGTTTGGATTTTTTGTCGAATACAAATAGAATAATTTTAAATACAAATATATTTTTAATAATAATTTTAAATTCAAATGAAATATTCGAATTTTGGTTAATTGCAATTATAATTTTCGAATTTGAATTTGATTAGTGTTAAAAAGTTAATATTTAAATATCAATTATTTGTGGACTTTAGAGACTTTAAAGAAAAAACTTTACCTCTGTAATTAATATAAAAAATGATAATTGTCTCCTGTTTACGTTTATGTATTTTACAGTACAATTATGTATTTTACAGCCATGTTTTTCTTAGATCCTTCTAAAATTCTGATTCCCACCCAAATATAATACTTTTTTTTAGAAATTTCTTTAATCTGTCTATTTACTTCCTATTACAATTATGACATTCTAAGTATTTATCAATTAGGATTTGTTAAAAAGTTTCTGGTCATTCAATGTTTACCTCAACTCAACAATAAATAGATTTGTTCATTTCCACTTCCACACCCACATCCACCAATGACGATAACAGATAATAGTTTATTTAACTAGCAGAATGAGTTTACCGTTTAAGTGTTAAGGTGTCGATTTGATTGTTAACCTCAGACAATTATTGGAGGATAACAGAATAATAGGGTGGAGTATACGTGAGCAACGTCATATACTTGCTTCAAAATGCTCAAGAATTGTTGACTATGCAAATTCGTTATTGAATTTAGAAAAATAAAATAAGTAACAATTATTCAGTTTTAGTTGTCTATATAATAAATATCCTTTTTCTTTTAACACAAGAATCATGCCTTCCCCGAAAACGTCAACACCACCCCAACATTGGTCATCAAATCGAAATCATACACAGAGTACGACTTGGTGGCCATATAATTGGTCAATAAAAGGCGTAACACCTAAACATTTGATTTGTTGATTTGCATATCATTTGTGCCAACTCATCGTCCTTTGACATGACCTGTCACGTGTATCGAATTATTTGACCAATGCATTGGCGGTTAACAAAACCAAGTGATAAGCAAATATTTAATCAAACGGTCAGCCAGCGATTCAACTGTGGCTAAAATGTCTATAAATATTCTAGCAAAGAGCGGAGGATATTTCAGTCTAAGCTCGAAGATGGCACATAAAACACAAACAAGCGGATTAAAATATCCTTTAACGGATATGGATTTGTCGCATCAAAAGTTGTTACTCTGTCAGGTTTGTGGCGATCAAAGTTCGGGTAAACATTATGGGGTCATCTGTTGTGATGGCTGTTCGTGTTTCTTTAAGCGCAGTGTCCGCAAGGGCAACATAACCGCCTACAGCTGTATAGCCGGAAAAGGAAACTGTATCATTGATAAGGCCCGAAGGAATTGGTGTCCATTTTGTCGATTTCAACAATGTCTGAAGGTGGGCATGAATGTCCAGGCCGTGCAAGAAGAACGAGGTCCGAGGCATCAAAATGCAACGAACTTTTTAAATTATTCACCGGAAGCATCAAAATCAGTTGTAAAAGTCAACACCACAAAACGTTTAAGTTATTCTTCAAGAGTGATGTACTGTTATTCGATGTCATCGTCGGACCCATCACCGTGTTCGAGCAGGCTGAGCAGTTCATCGTTGTCACCACAATCAAATGAAAGTGCTTTCAATTTTCAAATGTTGGCTCAAATTCTGGTAACCTGTTTACGTCAGGCCAAGAGCAATGAACAATTCCGTACACTGTCCCGCTGTCAACAGGAGGCCATTCTACATTTGGTTTGGAGTGAATGTTTTGTGTTGAGGGCATCCCACTGGACACTCGACATCTCGGCCGTATTTGAAGCCTGCGGTGATGTGGCCTTGCAACGCATCATCAACGAAGCGAAACAAATCAACGCCGATGTAATGGAATTGAATTTTCTTGAGACGCTTATTCTATGCCGCAGGGGTAAGGAGGAGGCGGAGATAATTGTTGTGGTAACTTGGTATAATATTCATTTTACTTTTTTAGAATATGCCTTAAATTCGGAGTGTGCCTCACTCTTGGAGTCCTACAGCAACAATGCATTGTTGGCATTGGCCCGCTACACAGCTCAACAGTCAAATTGGTTGCGTTTTGGTTCTTTACTCTTGGCCTTGCGTCAATTGTCACTGCGACGTTATGAATGTACATTGACCGGACTATTTCGTTCCATTGTCAAGGATATTATTAAGACATTGTAAGGGGGGTTTGTAAGTTTAAAATATTGTGTTATGATAATACAAAGTAAAATATATAAATATTTCATGTAAAGCTATTAATTAAAGTAATTTGTTTTTTTTTTCTTAAAATCTAATCGAAATGTAAAGGGAAAACTTATTGGACGACCATCTGTTCTAAGAATATAATGAGATTTGAATTTCCAGGAGAATAGATATTGATACTCTAATAGAATGCCTACTGGTCTTCTATGAGAAGAACTACAGTATCCAGAATCGAAAAACCTTTAATTAAATTCCGGCTCTAAAATTTGCTTTTGTAGCCTTGACGTCCTTTCGGTGTTGACGTCCGTTGTGGTGATCGGGCAATGTTGTTGTCAAATTATTAAAAGAAATAATGATACGTTTTTGAAATAATTAAAAATCTGTTCTGTTCTAATTTGGCCTGTTCCAGTACTACAAGAATCTACTATATTTTACAATTTTTTTTATCGTAGTTAAAAGTAGTAGATTCTTGCAGTATGGGAACAGACCAATTGTGTAAAAAAAAATTTTGAGGTGAAAATTTAAAAATAATTATAAACCAGTGAGCGGAGCATTATAGTTGGACAGGGCCGACCAGTTTCTCTGCGTCATCTTTACCGAATCAGGTCTTCTCCATTTGATCCGCTACACATTGATTAGTTGTCCAGGTGGCTAAATATTGATTAGTTGTGGCGTCTAGAGCGACTAGATGACCATAACCGGACTTTCCTGCAAAATATCCTTGCCATCAGCTCCAAATGTATACCCTCTAATGTGGTAATAGTAATACTAAACAATATCAGAATACGTAGATACCTGTAAGCATTTAAGAAAAACTCCTGCATCTGACAAGATAGCACAAAAAAATGCTATCTATTTAAAGGTTAACCACTCCTCTAGGATATACTATCAACTTTTCGGGTATATGTCCATATATGCCATAGAATACAAATTTTGTCATTTTTACACAAAAGTCTATGTCCATTGGACCCATTAAATATTAACCCTATCAAATATGCTTATTCTTCGGCCAAGCCCTTATCTGTGTGTAAAATTTCATAATTGAGCGTCCAGAAAAACAGAAAAAACTGTTTTTGGTCCATATCATCTCCTAAATATTAATTATTATTATAATCTCCTTTTATAATAAAAACTACAATCGTTTATTGTTCATTCATCTACGATGTTAGTGTTTTTGTTTTTTATTTATTGTGTAATTTTCAGTTTAAATATGGGTTACAATTATTCTTCTTTTTTATTCTTAATTTTTTCGTATTAAGGAATTTATTTCATCTTTATTTTAAATATATTTTTAGTTTCATTTGTTTAAGGGTTATTTTTTTACTAACTTTTTAAAATCGGAAAAAATGAATCGAGTGGCTTGTTTTTTGTTACTTTTGCAGGTCAGAAGTGTTAAAATGGGTGGGTGGGTTTGTTTTTTTGTTATGTATAGTAGTGGGTTGTAGGGCCAATGAAGACATAATGCAATGATTTAAGCCATTCATTGGCGCCCCCAATGACCGTCAATTGGTATGTTGACTGTTTTTATTGGCTTCGTTTTCTCCGGTAACTTAATAAATAGAAAAACATTTTATTTGGTTTAACAATTCTTTGGCTTATATTTCAAATATATATAAAAAAGTTAGGTTAAGTTTTAGTTTATAGTTTTTGTTGTTGACAATACAAAAAACTCATATTTATGTTTTTTTTAGATTTTATTTTTTATATCTTTGGTTTCTTTTTATATTTTGTAGTTGTTGTTTTTTTAAGAGTAATACACACATTTGCTTGTTAACTAAAGTTTATTATTTATGGTAGTTTTAAAAACAGGCATACCTTTTATTAATTTTTTTTTTTGGATCTTACAAAGACTTACACATTGGTTTTGTTTGTAATTTGTGCGTATATCCATATATGTATGCGGATACATGCAAAGGATAAAGGAAATATTCGATATAAGGAAACTATTAAGTCTTAACAATTAAAATCTTAACAAGTAACATTGACTATATATATGATTTTTTATTTTATTTTTCTAAGAGTTTATGTTTTTGGTGAGAATTCTAGCATTGAATGACCGGGATGAGGATGGGGTTTTTTGTTTGTATTATAAATTTTTATTTGTTGGTATTACTTAGTGTTTTGTTTTGTTTTTTGTTAACGATTGTCATGTGAATTAAAGGAAACTAACACCTCATTTTTATTTTTTTCTATTTTTTTGTTTATTACTTTGTGTTGTAATGTCTTTGTAAATTAGTGTAATTATTTCCTATCTGATGTTTTGAATTTTAATGAATTCTTTTTTGTAAGGAAGTGGGTTTTTGATGAATATTAAAATTTTGAAGTAAGGTATTTGTTTATTGAAAATTTACGTAGAACTTTTTGCCGGGTCTGTGAGGATTTATTTGGCATAGATGTAATGGAATTGCCAATCCAGTAGATCTACTGGATTAATAAAATCCGGTACAATGTAAACATACTATAAACAATTAAAATAAGAGAGAATACTGTAGTCACTACAAATTTATTAAAAAATAATAAATAAAACAAAATATAAAATAAAATCTGCAGGAAATGTTTTTATACAAGATTTATTTTTATAAAAAAAACAGATATGAGAAACAAGAGACACAGTAGACCTTTTATTTGAATAAATTGAAATACGTTCCTGTTTATATTTTTCATTCCAGTTTATCTGAAAATTGTATATATTACCTTTTATTTGGATAAATTGAAATACATTCCTGTTTATATTTTTTATTATACAGAGACGCCGGTGACTCTGAAGAAGTCATCAATAATCGTCATGCTAACAATCCACTTTATTCAAATCCATCGGAATTTTACATAACGGTTTAATAAGGGGCTGATTTCATTCCTCCAGAGCAGCCAACATCGGATGCAAGACTAGGTAATTGAAACATTTACCATATACCTCCCATCGATATAAAAGACAGCAAGTGGTAAGAATTTAACCAAATATTACAGTCTTTAAATAATATGCGAAGCATGATTTACTTTAGACTTTCCGAAAAGAAATATAGATGTATGCTTTTTGTGGAATCTTAATCTTGTTGGAGCATTCACACCCATATACACACTTTTATCTATGTCTATTTTTCACTAAACTACTCCGACTACAAACTTTCACCAATTCAACTACAATTCATAATTTATATATTTTTAGTGGTTAATACGAATTCTAACAAATAGCATAAATATGATAATTCTTTTTTAAACGAGAAACACAACATTGTACTACAACATGAGGTACACCAGCATCATAGTCATTCGATTTACTTCATACTCATTCTCTTTTGTTTTATAATAAAGCTTTTCTGATTTCAATTTAAGTCGTAATGGTAATTATTTATGTACTCGTATGCATATATAATTAATTTAATTATTTTGGCAAGTCTTATAATAACAATAAAATACAATTTTATGGCAATTGAAATATAATTTAAATCCAAATTTGACTCTCAAAGTCCCTGATGCCAAGATTGATTGGGGAGTTTTATATCAAATCGCCACAGCATACTTATTCCAAAATTTTCAAGAGATACCTCTTGCCATCCATGAAGTCATTGTATGTGTGTAGGAATGTTTAAAATTTACTTTATTTCGAACCTGTCCAGTATAATGTTTTTTTTTCTGTTCAAACTACTGTAGTTGTGGCAGAATCTTTTAACAGCCATAATTTTAATTTTTCAAAACCTTATCATTGCAGATGGACATGTTTTATACGATTCTCCAATAGATGAAGAATTTAAACCGTATCCTACCTACTCAGTAGAGCCTCCACATTGAGAGTAATTTCAGGTTTCTTTATATTGCTATGATCTTCCATGGGAACTGTGGTGTTGGAGTTAACTGAAGCCGTGGTTGTTGCCGTTGATGAGGCATCTGTGGTGGGGCTTTCCATGATAACACTGTCGCGCAGGGGCAGACCACCATTCAATGATCTCGAAGGGGCCGGTGATGTTGGTGCTGATAATAAAGTGGGTGGCGATGTGGACGAGAGATATCCCCCGGCAATTCTTCTCGGCGACTTTCCGGTCATCCCTGTTTGTAGTGGTGCTGTCGACGGCGGCGGAGGTGGCGATTGGGCATCCACTGTGGACGGTGGACTACGATTCATGTTGCTATCTAAACTACTGTGCTGCTGCGACGAAGCCGGCGATAATGGTATCTCCTCGATTTTCTCCAAATCCTGCGCTATGGAATTTGAGTTTTGTTTATGGATTCGATTTATAGTCCCCTTGGGACTTCTTGAGGTATCATGTAGTATAGGAATCTCGAGCATTGAAGACTTGTTCGACAACGACATGGCGTGATTGGATTGTAAGGAAGACTGATGATGTTGTTGATGGTGGTGATGTTCCGATTTCGAGTGTGTATCATCACGATCCAGGCTAAATTGACGTCGCAACAAACGCGATGAGCCGGGTTTCTCAAATCGACTTGTTTGGATTGGTAAATTGCCGCTATTGCTTTGTGTGTTGGCGGCTGGACCAACACCACCACTGTACAGATATTTGCCATCATAAAATTGGGTGAGGTTACTTTCACTTGGACTGAGGCATTTATAGTGATTGTAAGGTGAACTAAGATCCATCATTTCTTCCAATTTCTTATATAACCTGGACGAAGATCCAGCCGTCGAGGATGGCAAACGATTAAAATTGTTCGGATTCAGGAGATTATCTGTTGCCAAATCGGTTATTTTTCTTGGTTGTGGTGATGTTGTGGGCGTCTTAATGGGGAATTCCGGACACAATGTCATGTTGGGACTTATGGTTGTGGTCGAATTTGAATCCAGCGAATATGAATTGGGTAGGTTGGGCGATGAAACTTCCACATTTGTGGGTGGTGTTATTTCTACTTTCACTTCGACGGATTCTCCCGCAAGGGATGATGATTGGCTGGACGAGGGATTTGTACTATTGCGTGATTTATTTGCCTGAGCTTTCAGGGTAATGGAGTTGCGTATCAATGATTCATCCAAACTGCAATTAAAGGTACAGAAAAGGGAAGGGGAGAGAAAGTGTCATTATTTTGAATAATTAGGATTTTATTTTTGTAAAAATACCTACCCATGTGATTCTCTATAGTTATAGTTAAAAATTAATCCGCCGCATTTAGTAAAAGACTAGTAATGTTAGTTGTATAATTAGTTGGTGGATAATTCCATAAACTTACCCGATCGGTGGGGGATTTGGCAGGGGTTTATCAAACCCCTTTTTGCCTAACAACCAAAATGTATTCATCATTCCTTTGCCTTTGATTTCAATTAGTCCCCGGGGTTCTATCATGTAACCGCCACGGGCTTCCAAACGATTGCGGGTTTCTTGTGACATGTGTATGCGCCAGGAGGAACCTACAATCGGTATTTAGTCAAAACGGCATATGAAACACAATTTTCATTCCCTTACCTGTCGATTCCATACGTGAAGCTGTATTAACTGTATCACCGAACAGACAATATCGTGGCATGGTTAGACCAACTACACCAGCACAACAGGGCCCTGTATGCAATCCAATTCTCAGCTGCAAAGGTACTCCTGGTAAATGTTTAACATTGAAGCGACCACTTTGATGTAATAGATCTAGGGCCATGGTAGCAATTTGCTCGGCATGATCTGGTATCCGCACAGGAAGGCCACTCACAACCATATAAGCATCGCCGATTGTTTCGACCTTTTAAAATGAAAGAGAGTTGTTAATTTGGAAAACCTAGAAACAGTTCATTTCATTTCAACGTTCAAAGTTTCATTCTAATACGCTTTTATCGATCGATTAAGGTTGAAGCGTATGAAAATAAATTGTTTATAGTTTCTATGGTTTTAATCCACGTTTTACCTTGTAAACATTATACGCATTTATGGTGGCATCAAAAATCGTATAAAGATCATTTAGCAGATCGACTACTTGCACCGGGGTACAGTGGGCAGCTATCGTTGTAAAACCAACGATATCACTGAAATAAATTGTCACATCGGAAAATTCTTCTGGTTCAACGGCCAAGCCCATTTTTAATTTTTCAGCCACAGAACTGAAATTTAATATGCAAAAATATATTCAAAATTCGTTGTTTTGAGTTCACTTTACAAATCACCCACCTTGGCAACATTCGATTTAGGAGTTGCTCAGTCTTTTTACGTTCCATATCCAATTGATCGGTACGCTCACGTATCAGCTCTTCCAAATTGTTGGAATATTTTTCGAGCATTTGAAACATTGTATCGACGAAATTTACTTTCCTTCCATGATTTAATAACTTGAAACGTTCATAAACTCTGTTCCGTTTTGATTTGCGGAGGTTATCACATGCAGTCATCGTTTATGGCAATACCAGGACCATTATTATCGTCATCATCAGGATAGTTTTTTTTTTATATTTATAGCGACGACATTGACATCGTCAATCAATCAGTTGTGTTAACATTTGTCCAACACAGTCCGCAATAAGTGCGGGAACAGAGTGTGTGTGTGTAGTAGTGTGAGTGCATATTTGAAAACGGAAATGAAGAAGAAGCAATAAATAGGGAAATCAATATGAAATTATCATAAAAACAACGTTTATTTTTTAATATTTGCATTTATATGCTAATGGATTAGGGCGTAATGACAACATGTAAATAAAATAATTATAACAAATTTAATTTTATATTTTGAACTATTTAAAATTATTATTCTAAACATATGTTTCTAAAATGTTTTAAATACTTTTGAAAATTTATATTATGATTTTCTAAATTGCTAATTAATCAATACTCACGAATTAAAATCTGGACGCATTTCCGGCTGTTCAGCCCAACACTGACGCATTATATTTATTGCTTCTGGTGGTGCAGCACCCTTCGATACCGATGGCCGTATTAGCGGTGGCGGCTTTTTAATTTTCGCTATTATCTCCTCCGCCGACAATGACAGCATACAATAGGGTTCACCCCTCACCACAACCTCTTGCATGATAATACCAAATGAATAGACATCACCTGCTTGCGTGTACACCATACGTGAATGATGATGATTGTGGTGTGAATGTGGTTTTACGGCCCTCAATAGTTCGGGTGCACACCACAGCATCTCTTTGGCCGTCCTTGGTGTCTGTTGCAAGCCCTGAGCCTCATAGAATTGAGGCAAACCATAATCGGTTATTTTGAGTACCCAACGTGCATCGACCACACAATTGCGTGATGTTAATGTGCCGTGAACACGTAACGGTGAGGTGTGCAAATAACGCATGCCACGCACCAAATCGGTAAGCAAACTCAAACGAAAAGACCAATCCAATTTGATTTCGTCCATAATGAGGACATCTTGCAGAGAGCCCCGTGAACAATAATCGAACACCATGGCCGTGCGATTAGGATCGGATAACCAACCAATAAGGGGATTTATATTTTCATGGCGCAGACCATGGGCCATAACCAATAGGTCCATGGCCTTGGATTTTAATTCGGTTGAACCGTTGAGTGGAATTTCTTTGAGTTGTACTAAATCACCATTGTAGCGTGCTCTCATATCCAATAAGGCTGGATTGTGGCGGGCCAAACTGGCTGAGCCCGAACTAGTTTTGCCATTTAAACCATTGATTTGTGTTGGCCCTGATGCTCCGGGTATAAGAAAGCCTAGATTTTTCAATGAACCAATGGAACCTTTTAACAAGTCAGGCTTATCGACTTCAGGACCACCAAATTCCTGTAGCTGCTGAAGCCAACAGCAGAGCATGGCCTCAATACCTTCATCAACCTGAAAGAGGGTCAAGCATATACAATCAATTAAATAATAATATAATTTGTATTTTAGAGGCAAAGGATCGATTTCGAGTTATTAAAGATCTCAAATATTAGGGGAAATATAAAAAATATAATTTTTTATGAGAATACTTACTCTTCTTGAGTCCACTGGGAAAACGAAATCATTTGAAGACAAGACAATTTTATTGGGACCTTTGGATAATCGTTTGCGAAGCAAATAGTTCCTGGAAAATATGAAAAAAATCTCTTAGAAGGACATCGAAAAAGTGAAAAAGCTGTAGAAGTTAAATAAATCAAAAATTGAAAAATGTTTAGTTCGACATATTCTTCTTCTACTTTGCAAGCCCCTAATTTTATAATTTTAAATAGTTAATTTCTTCACTAATTTTTGTTATCTTAAATGCACTGCAAAAAGCACACATTTATACATACATCTACAAGAACGTGGTTTAACAATCTCTCTGGGGGTAAGCTATACGAGTATATAAATAAACGCAACGCGTGTCAATATGCGAATGCTTGAAGGCATTGCATCTCAACAGGTGCCTATTCGTTAAAAAATTGCCAAGGTTACAAAATAAAAATATGTTCTTTGTTGTGTTGAAAGCGTTGTGAATGTGGTTAAAAATAAAACTTAAATGTAAAATCAATAAATATATAAATATCTGTCTTCTATTTTATTCACCTAATTCTACCTTTTTTATACATAAATTTCAACATGAGATTTGTATTTAGTCCAGGAAAAATCATAAAAAAATATTCGACCCATGTCAAGGTGTAGAGTATAATTATTTTATTACATGGTCTTTTTTCGTTCTCCTTGATTTTGCCATTAGCCGCTGTTTTAAGATTTCCTTTTTTATTATTCTTGCCAAGAATAATTATGTACTGAGATTATATTCTTTAAAACTCTGTGAATGGTTTATGTATTATAACGGTTATTAAAACTTTGTTTCAACTCATGAAATGTTATCCTCAACTACAACATGCATACACACACATACCAACTCACATAAAATATGACTATAGCACAAGAGATCATAACTATCATCTATGGTATTATAACTGTAAAAATATCTACTCATCTGTGTCTGCCTGTTTGTGTGTGTGTCTGTTGGTGAGCGCGTGTATGTGTGGCTTAGTTGTGATGTGACAGAATAACAAAAGGCCCATAAAAAATTAAGTTAAGACAAAAGAGCCTCTTTAAGTGGAAACACAAAACACAAACAACAGGAACAATTATGCTCATATACAATGAACAGTGTGTTCCCACACATACACACACATACGATGGCACACTCACACGTAATGTTGTGTTTGGTTTGGTTTGCAGGAGCAGTGTTTGTTCATCATAGCTACTGGAATAGTTATAGTGTCAGAATTTTCTTTTTTCATACAAAGGCTAACAGACAGCTATGACTTAACAATGAAAGCCTCGGAAGTATGCATGTCCGTGCAGATGTACGTATGTATATGAAAAATGTATGTGGTAATAAAGTATTTATGAAGACATTTGTTACAACCATAATGTCTTCGGATATTGAACGGAAGGCTATGTCCATTATGTAGTGTTTTGTTCAAATAAATGCCAATGAATAGCACTGTATTTAATTAATATTTCTTGAATTTTTAACGATTTTATTTCGAATATTATAAAAATATATTTCATTTGGAATTTACATTAGAGCGTATTTCAAAATTCTAATAATAAAAATTGAAACCTTTATCAATTTTTATATAGGGGTCATACAGATCGATACATTAAAATCATAATCATTCTGTATCATGATATTCTACGTAGTGCTTTTTATATCATTTACCTTTTCCAAGCTATTTCAATGGGAACAAAAGCGTCTAACCTGGTCTCGTATTGGTTATTGAAATCGTATTGGTTTTCGTTGCCTGGAATGACAAAATACAGGCACTCTCTTTGGAAATTCAATTCAATGAAGATATGTTATGTTTGGAGGAACTTTTATGGTAAAACTTACAAAACCTATATTGAAAAATCCTCAGGAAGGAGTTTTTTTCAATTTTCATTAACACTGAATGCAAAATTACATGCCATTCTGCTGGATAAAAATTAATCTGCGCCAAATGTGTGTGGGTCAGACTTCTGTCTGTTCTCACCTTACTATTCTTCCATAAACAGACCCCAAACAATGCGACAAAATTATGTATTTAGACATTGTCTAGCAATTAAAGTCGAATACAATCTCTCATATTTTTTATAAGATATTATTTGTTTATTATTTTTGGCATTCCGTCCATTTTAACAATATATTTCTTTTAATCCTTAAAGACCATTTACCAAATATGTCTTTAAATAATAACTCGGCACAGTTTTACCTTTTCGAACTCATTTTGACATCGAGTGCACCTGAGAAGAAAACTTTCTTCTATTTTTTCCCTTAAAATTATCAAAGTTTTTTTCTGTTTGATCTATAATTCCGTGCTTGATTTTTATACCTTACATTGGTGTTATTGTTGTTCGTGTACTTACCTCATGGCAATACCAGCAGCCACACTAGCCACGATTATTGCCATCAATAGAGAGGCTGAAATGGCAATAATCGTCCAACAAAACGAACCACATTGCCAAAGTTGACCTGTGCTAACCAGAAGCCAATCATCGTAGCCGGGCCGTATTGAGTGGGTGATGTATGTCTTCAAGTGGATTTCGTGTTGTTCCAGTATCAGTAGGGGTCGCCATTTAAAGGCGGCTGCAGATCTTTCTGTAGGCATTGTTGCATTGACACCGCCGATGCCAGCCGATGATAAACTTTTCAAATGCTTCCTGTCATTGTTGCTGGTGTTCATGGTGGCGGAGGTTGCGATGGTGGTGTTGGTGTCGGTTTTGGGTGTGTTGGTGGCATTAAAACTTTTTTGACTTCCGTTGCTGCCTGTGGCTTTTGACACAACGGATATAGGACTTGTTAAGGCCGCCCCCTTTCGCACCACATCGAGTACAATGAAGTCGTATTTTGGCACATGTTCCGATTCGTTAATTAAGGGTTTAGAAAAACTTTTTGCCGTGTCACTTGCCTCCTCTTTTGATGGGATTGCTGGCGTTGGCACGATGTTGGCAATTAGAAAATCGTAAAAGTTGAAAAAATCTATAAAACTACGAAGTTTCTCTATTAAACGCTGTTCATCAAATTCCCTGAAATGTTTATGGCATAATTCCGCAATGACATTGCGGAGGCTTTCATTGTTCGCGCCCACTGTGTCAAGGCATTGTTGATAGTTTTGGCAAATTTCATTTAAATCCTGATGGGATTTATTTATGTACGGACAAGGTGATAGCCATTCGTATAACAGCTGTAATTTGTTGTCCTCAATGTGACGCTGATGTTGATGACTGACATTTGCAGATGTTTTATGGTCATCTGCTGATGATGATGGGGGTTTGCCTTCCATTTCACTTGTCGTGTCATTGAAATCGTTCTCCCTTAATTGCAAAACCTTTGTTACCGATTTGTCCAAATGAATAGGCCAATCGCTATTTGCCTCCTCGGACTGGGCTGCCGGCTGGTTGTTCTGTAGCTCCTTACGTTTGCGATTTTGGCGAAAATTCTGCACCAAGTTAATGCCATTGTCATCGAATGCCACATTAAGGAAATGCCGATAGTTGTCACTCAGCACCGTTAACAGTAGCAGATTGGACATTAGAGCCGATTCCGGATTAATACGTGTCAGATATTTGTAGAAACGATTCTCGGCATTAAATGATGTCGCCACAATGTCAATGAGCAGCACCTTGGTGTGAGATAAGGACTCCAATTGGCTTAACAGTCTTAGTGTGCTGTCATCGTTCATTGGCGCCGTAATGATAATTGCTACAACACGAAGACAAAGAGATTCATTAACAATGGGAGTTACAACAAACAGACAAGCAAACGCACACACATACGTACTCGCACGCACACAATAAACATAATGAGAAGATTTGCTTGGTTGAAAATGAAATTTACATATAGAAAAGTGTCTCTGTCTTTGACTGTGTCTGTCTGCCCGTCGTGCTTGCGTGTAAATCACCGAATATTTGAACTGCGCACTTACCTTTGCCAAAGTGATCTTCGACATGCAGGTCACGTATATCATCTTCTCCGATTTCAATTTTATATGGGATATGCATGTTGGCGGCAATGGCCATTGGTAGTGCCCAATTTTCATCTATAAAAGCAGGAAAAGGAAAAAAATAAATGTTTGATTTTCTTATCATTGTAAACATTGTGAGGGTGTTAGTGTGTCTCTGTTTGTGTATAAGTCCAAATATTGTTTGGGGCATGAAAAGTGTTGTTGGCATAAGATTAACATTGGAAAAATAAATGTCAAATCTAGCAGAGTTTATACTTGAAGGCAATTCCTATAAAATTGATTGAAAATCTTTAAAATACCTAACAGAACCTCAAACAGTCGCTAAAGAGTTCATTTCGTTGGAAATATGCCATTAGCCTATAATTTTGTTAGTAGACTGCAATTACAGGCATTTTTTAAAGTGACATAACCTCTTGGTATTTGAAACTACTTAAACTCGAAATTTTATATTTGGGACCTTATGGCGTATGATGTTTGCATTTAAATCATTTATAATATTTATAACCTTCCTTTATTTTTAATTCGTTTTTATGCTAATCAGCTAAACTTTTGACAATATTAATAAACTATATTGTGTGTATAAAGGCGATATCCCAAATATGTTTAAAATACACATTTTAAAACATAAATGTGGTGCAGAAAGAAATTAAAACAAAATTGCTTATTATGATGCAAAAAAACTAAATGCTTGTAATTTGTTTTTTTTTTTGTACTGAAGGGCATTAAAAAAGCGGTAAAGGGGTTCATACTTCTATTGCATTTACTGAAGCCGGCACTGCTGTTGTGACCATAAAGTGGTAAACGAACATTCACGCCAAACATCCTGCTCTGAACATCGACATTCGAATCTCCCAATGGCGGACGCATACAAATCATAATAAAATAATGTTATGGCTTGCGGAGTCATTACCATCATAAATGTGTCACCGAGGTATTGTAAATTATTATTTTTTGTTTGCACTGCAATAAGGTCTCTCTGTTCACATTACAGAAAGTTAGAACGGGAGGGAGAGAGAGGAAGATGAAGAAAGAGAGAGACTGAATTTTATGGGATTTCTAAAGAATGTGAATGTGTTAGTTTGTTGTGTTTGATTGTTGTTGTAATATATATGTACATAATTATATTTGTAATTAGTTTGAATCCTACTACAACCAGTAAAGTGGTCATTGAAAAAAGGAAATAAGAATCATGGATGTGTTAATAATCCTTTTATTTTAATGACAAGAAAATTAATTGCATTTTGGATTATTCTTTGGAATACAATACTTTATAAATAATGTGTATATTGCTAAGTTGTTTTATATAATATATTAGGTATTAAGTATAAAAATTATGTATATATACACATTTTCTTAATTCAGTTCGAGAAGTACCACGGCGAATTTGAAACGTCAAATTAAAAAAGTAACCCAATATCATTATATTTACATGTTTCAAATGTTATTCAAAACATTTCAGAAATACCCAGTTAAATTGTTTATTGTTAGGTGACCATACGTCCCTTTTTTTGGAGGACAATCATCTATAAAATTTATGTCCTCTATCTTTCATCTATTTCTATAATTTGTCATCATTGCCATGTGTATATTTAAAACCTCTATTTTACATTTATTTTTGTAAATTAAAAAAAGTTAATAAATACATTTTATGAAATTTCAATGAAATATTTAAAAAAGAGTCCGAATCTTAGTAGCAAAACAATATAACTGCCCGCATTTTCAATATTTTCAGTATTTTAGACACATTTTTCAACCGAATAGGCTGTAATTTGATATTTTGGTTTCCTTTTATTTTTTTAATATTACGAAAATTTGCCATCAAATGTGGTGTAATTTACTATTCCTTGTGGTATAGGGGTTGCAAAATATCCTATGTAGTCGACATAGGTCTACTTCTTTGCTATGTTCCTTATATAAAGATCCCAGGATTATTCGCTTCGGGCCGGTCGTACTTAACGACTTTTTAACCAATTTTATATATTTATAAGTAACTATAAATGTAAGCTTTTACACATATTATTATTTTTATTAAAAATTTACTTATTTTCTTTTTGTCCTCTATTTTAATTTTCAAAATCTGATCGCCTTATTTATTGTGACTATTTTTTAAATTATCCTAATAAAACTTTTTAACAAAAATTGCTTGGTATTGGAAGGTGAACTTATGGATCCACGTTAAGTCTACATCTAGGCCAAGTTTGACGTTTTTTATGTGGATATTCTATCTGATCTCTACTTAATTTGAAATCCTTTTTAACTTTTATTGGTACGGGAATTTACTGTTTGCCGCATATATATTATAAAGAGGTTCGCACTTGATTTCCCCCTAATGGGATATTATTTAGGGTATTCATTCGATTTAAATTATTTTTTATTTAATTTATATATACATTCATTTAGAGCTCAATATTCATTTTACTTTTATGACATTTCTTATTTTTTGGAAATTTATCTCTATATATAGAAAACGTATTTATTGAATTTATTTAATTTATCCCTAAGCTCGAGAAAATGGTATTAACATTAATGTGTTTGTAATTCTTAAATTCCCAGAAAAATATTCAACAAATCTGGCATTTGAACGAGCCGCCCATCAACTCAGGCACACATTCACACGCATTTGTGAAAGGCAATAAATGCATTAAAGAGAAAACAATTCGTTAAAATGTTTACAAATCCTTTGCTGCTCAAAATAAAAAAAAATAGAACGGAAACGAGCATATCAGAGCTGATGATGAAACTTTTTAGAAATATTTGTCTGTTAGCTAGCACCATAAACGATGCATGTTTCGTGTGGGAATATTAAGTGTAAATACATGTTATGTGCACACACACACACAGTCACATACTGCGGAAGGAGGGTAGAGCCCCAAAGATAAATTGTTTGATTAATATGTGTTCCGTGTGTCTGTGTGCGCGGAGGACGAATTGCAGTTGCTTGGAAATCATAAAGGACGCATTCCCACTGTAATATATTTGTTTGTAGCACTGCCTGCAAGTTTGGATATCTCCTTGGTGCATATCCTTGAAGATGAGTTGAAAGGTAATTTTGCCATTAAACCTGAAGGCATCTCAAAATAATGAAAAACAAGTGGCTGTCATTCATTCATGACTGTGTGTGTAGCACTGCCATGCTGATGTCACAGTAAAACTGGTTAAGCTGCTCTGGCAGTGCTATTCGGCCCAGATGTTGTTGTGAGTAAAAGTTCTTTGCAGATATGCCAACCCAAAAAGAATATCTCATGCTTGAGTTTCATGTTCTCCCCCTTTTGTAGGTCGTGCACTTTAGGGGCGTGCTCATATTTCTGTCAGTGTGTGGGTGTGTGGCTGAACAAATTTCTTAACAAACTCAATTAGTGTGCAATTAGTTCAACATACATACCCACACATTTACATTTATGGTGCGCTAGTTGCGTATGTAAGTAACATATTTTAGGAGAATTGAAAGGGGTATGGAGGAAGAACTTAATATTAGAATAAATATAATTAGTGTGGGTTAAGATTGCATGTGTGGGGATATTGAAATTTGAAAAATCCAAAATATGAAAATTAAGTCAATAAATATTGAAATTAATGTTTATTTACTAGTCTGTATTACTACATAGTCTTTATAATACATTCTAACCACCATGGTGTGTATATTAATTTGGTTTTATTCTATTTGCTCCACCTCGAAATATTCCCATACAGTATATTTATAAATGCTTGATCTGTGAAATGTTACACACTCATTGGTCGGAATTTTGACAATTTTATACCGACATAGGTATTATTTCTGGGATATTTGGTACCGAAGAAATCCATATCGCCCAAATAACTGGGCCCATTAGAACACTTTTGAAACACTCGAATGAATACACCGGTTATTTTTGTAAATTACTTTAATTGGTATTGCTATTTTTTAGTTTTCTTTTAACTTTTAATTCCCCGTTTCACTCTACGAAAATTGCCAACTGAAGTTTGTTGTAAAAAATGGGGTTGTTTCTTTAGAAATTAAATAGTATTGTCTTGTCTTAAGGAGTTTATTACATTTTAGCAGTTTTAATACTTTCCAAAATGTGTAGTACCAATTTCGAAATCCTTCACATTGACTCAATACTGAGTGCATTTTATGCACGCAGTCTGTGATGCAGTATTTGTAATAGAAGATTATTTCAAATTCTTGTAAATTTTAGTTATAATTAAATTCAGCTATATTTCGACAAAGTTTCTATTAAGTGGTGCAACACAAATTATATCTAACTCCAGTGTATCCATTTTTCTGTAATTATAACATTAAATTCTCAACAGCACTGAAGACATACTCGTTCTCTTGTAAGAAACGATCTTATTTATATATAGACTAATACATCCTTTATATTTTCTTCTTGGAAAAAAACTTCCGTCAATTTTGTTATCAACTTTTTTTTTAATATTTGTTCCTCTACGCTGAGGGAAACTGTTGTACCCATGATAATATCAAGAAATGCTGCTGGAAGTTTCATCGAACAATTTCTATTTGCTCAAGAATGTGGGAATGTTTATCTTTTTCTCGTTGTTGTTGACCGCCTTGAAGTATTTTGAAGAAATAAAACAAACATTTCAGTTTTAATTTGTCTTTCAAGAAATATGAAAATACGAAGAAATAGAGAAGAACCAAAACAGACAGCAAAGCAAATGTAGAAATTAAATGGAATAAAAGAAGTTTTCTGCTTTAGTTTGTCAGGATGTTGTTCTTGCTTTTCTATGTATAGCAGACGCACACACATACATACAAACAACAATTATTACTGAAAGAAAAGTTAAGTAGTAGTAAGAGTGCATGAGTGTGTGTGTGCGTGTCTGCCATTTCGGTGAAAATCCACTTCACAGCTTATCAATACAGCCACAGAAAACAGACATTTTCTACAAATTAGGGTAGCACAAGGATACCACAACCATGCTTATGTTGTCTTGGTTTCTGGTTCTGTGTGTGTGCACATCTGTGTGATAATTTGTGTTCTTTTCTCTTCCACTAGTGTGGCTGCTTTACAAATGTATCCGTTTTTCCCAGTTTGGTTTGTAAAGAAAACTCGAAGGAAAGTGCAAAAAGAAGA